AGGGTTAAATCAGTTAACACATGTCTCTTACATGGTCAAAGGCACTTTCTGCTGTCCAGAAAGTACTTGTGGCACTGAGAATGAGGATGTTGGTTTGAAGTTTCCATGCCTACTTCAATGTGCAAGATATAGAACTCACTGAGTTCAACCTTTTCTTATCCAGAGGGAACATTAAAGCCAGAGAAGGAAGGGGGAAGAACTGGCCTGAGATGGTACTGAGAGCAGTGAGAACTGCTTTCTGACTCTTGACCTCAAGCTGTTGTTTTTTGCAATGCCCTCCCTTCTCCAGGGCCTTGGTTTTCCTTTTCTTCCTCCAACTTCACCCATCCCTATTAAGGAGTCTTTCCCCTAAGACTCCCATTGCCACCATGGCTGCTGGCACTTAAATGCAATACCCAGGCTCACTTGGCATTCTTTTCATAAAGATGAAGCCAGAGAGGTGACGGTGGGCCTGGGGCAAGCCTCTGAATGTATGGGAATGAACCCCCACCCCAGGAATCAGGCCTGGCTGCCACCGGCATGTTCACTGAGGACCCTTTGGCAGCCATCCATGATTAGAGAAAGGCAAGGCAGCCAAGACAAGACAGAGGCTAATTACCTTGGGTAATAAGAAATTGGAAAGCAGCTATAAGAAGGGTGTCTAGGCTTTTAGCCAGGCAAGGACAGGGACCACAGATGCCCAGCCTTGCCTCAGTCATTGGTTCTAGTGGAGGCTCCTGTTCAGGATCACCCTTGGAGTCCACATTTCAAGGGAACAGGAGCTGGCCCCATTGTTAGACCTTATAGAGACCCTCTCCCTCTCCTGTTCTTGTTTGTTTTCATTCAAAGCAAAACAAATGAAATAAACAAGGAAATTCCATTTAAATAGGGCATGGGTGCTGATGTTTCTGTTTTGTTACACCAGGGTAAGCTTAGGACAGAAAATCAGCCTTGACTTTCACTCTTCCAGTTGGTCTTACCCTGCAGCACTGTGTAAAATTACATGGATGGAGGGGCTGCAAAAGCAATTTTTCCCACCTAGGTGGGGTGAAGAGATGGAATGGAGATGGAAGGGGGAGGGAGGAAGACAACAGGGAGGAAAGAAGAGAGAGAGAACCAAAAATTCAAGTAAAAAAATAGAACAGAGAGACTGAGATGCATATATAGAAACAGAAACTTAAGAGAATAACAAATTAAAAAGAAATAAGGAATGATAGAGAGAGTAACAGACAAAGACAGGACTCCATATAGAAAATTCTTAGCCAGAGAGGGTTTAAAAAGCAGAAATATAAAGAAACAGAGAGGCACAGTTGAGGCAAAACAAAAGTGAGAAAAGTAGGTAAGCTGGAAGGGCAGGAGTCCAGGAGGATAAAGAGAGACAGAATGAGAATAAATCCCATGGCAAAAACATATATATCCAGAACTCTCAAGCTGTGGGGGATCTAACGTATGTTTGTTTTAAAGATGCTGAAATTGTGGGACAGGGAGAGAATATGAAACTTCAGCACAAGGTCTCAGAGGCAGAAGTGATGGTATCAGGATGTAAACCTTGGCTCCCTGATGAAGAGGTTAGTCCTCCACTCTCCTATCAGCTGACTCCTTCTGAAGACCTAAATGGGGAGGCTGGTGTCTGACTGTGTTTTTACCTAAAAACTCAGCTCTTTCTGAGACTTTTCTCCACTGGATCCATCCTATCCTCCCCTTTTTCTCCTACAGGGGATTTGGATGGTCATTTCTTTCAGGACTAGTAGGACCCCAACTTATTTCATAAGGAACAGTTCCTCCAGGGTTGTCCTTGGAAGAAAGAGATACTGATAACTAAGGACTGAATGAAGAGACTGAAATGGGAACAGAATTGCTAATGCTTTCTGCTGGCCTTCCATGTGCCAGGCATTCTGGTAAACCCTGTTCTTGTCGTTTCTTAATTTAGTCCTCTTTTCTACCACCACATGAGACAAGGGTGATTTCCAGCCTTCTTTTCCAGAGGAAGAAACTCTTAGAGTGGTGAGAAATGACTTGCCTGGGGTCAGGTTATCAGTACATGCTGGGTAGAATCAGGATTCACACCCAGCCCAGCCTATCCCAAAGTCTGTGCTTTTTCCACTGCCACATGTGGCTTTTTGGGTTTAAGAGAAAGAACACAAATTTTAGTAAAGAATAAGAAGCAAGGAGAAAATGAGAAAGCCCAAGTACTATTTTAAAACTCAAGACTGAGTGGGTCAGCACTCACAGGAGGAGTGCTGCCGGTAGAATGAGAGAATGTTCCAAACAACACCCTGGCTCCTTGTCAGAGTAGCCCAGATCCCAAGGCCATTAATAAAGTCAATTTCAAAAATGAATAAATAAAATAGTGTTCTGAGATAGGGAAGATAAGTTCATGACAAGCACATTTCCAAGACAGAGGAAGATGTTCCTTTTCTACTTCAAGAAGTGGGAAGGAGGGGAGGTCCTAGGCAGTGAGGAAAAGAAGGGGACAGGGAAAATGTTCATTGCTTAAAAAGATGGCAGTTGATTTGTCAACTCTCAATATTAGTTGCTTTGGGACCTGTAAAAATATATCATTGTTCTCTAATGGGGCTGTAGGCATTAGCCCAGCTAATACCTAGTCCTTATAATGTCACCCAGAGACAGGGTTACTCCTTCTGACTTAGTAGATAGGAACCACCTAACAGGGCTCTAACCCTCTCTGCTAGTCTGCTAGATGCTGTATCTTCCTCCTTCAGTGGAAGGATAAATGTGTAGGGAGATGAAATTCACTGCCACAGTAAGAGCAACAGCAGTAACAAGAATAACAACTAATATTTGTTATACTTTCTACTGGGAACTCATCACCAAGCAGACACTTGAACACTACCTAATTAAGTATCATGGATGGATGGATGGATGGATGGACAGATGGATGGAAAGAGGTATAGAAGGACAGAGGGAGAGAGGAAAGAAGGAAGAACAGGAGAGTCCTGGTGAGTCAGACATCACCTTACTAACATTCTCACAGGGGAGAGAGTGGAGGCTCAGAGGATTGAGCATCTCACTCAGAACTCAATTATCACATAGCTGATAAAAGGCATAGATTTGTACCCAGGTTCAAACTGGGTACAGTTCAAACTCTTGAGGAGTTACAGAGGATCCGGAAACCAGCCATCAGGAAGTCTGTACATGCCATTTTCCTCATATATTCATAGTTTTTAGAGTTTGGGAGGGCCCTATAGCTCTTATTCCAGTTACATGCTTATATTGCATAGATGCTGCGACCCTAGAGCCCAAGGAGTTCAGTGCTTACTGGTTAAGAGGCTAAAGAGTCGCACTCTCAAGGTCTGGATCCCATTCCTACCACTCACTATGGTCATTCTTTAAGGCCCAGAGCACATCCCACTTCCTCTGTTTACTTTGCCAAGATAACTCATCAGGAGAAATCTGGTAACCTAGTGTATTTCAGAGATTCCATCTCTAGAGCATTTACTATTCCTAAACAATTTAAGACAAAGTTTGAACCCAACATCTCTGAGATAGTCAGTGGTAGAGCCAGGATGAGAAGGTCCAATTCCCAACTTACTGTGATATTCTTCAGTTTGGTTCACTAATGTATTAGATATTATCAAAACAGCATAAATCTGTCAGATATTCAAAGGGAACCACAGTATTTGGAAAAGTCATAATCTTCAGAAGGGAGAAGAAGGGGGAGATGCAATGTGTTTTAGAGGTGAGAGGTTTTCACAGGACTAGGATTTATTGAGCACATACTTGGGAAGGCTGTGCTAGGGTATTTCTTGTTTAATTCTCACACAATACTTCAAGCTAAGTTTTATTACTTCTGCTTTACAAAGGCTGAAACTGAGACCTACAGAGGCAAGGAAACTTCTTTAAGGTAATATAACTAAAAAACATTAAAGCCACATTCTGAATATAAAGTTTGTGGCTTTTCATGTCACCATTAGGTCATACATTTTCTGAGGACAGGACCTCTGCTTTGCCACATCCATACCTTTGAATGGTGATAGAATACAAAACATAGAAATCCTCAGAAAATATTTAATAAATAAGTAAAAGAAGTATGAATGAGTAAATAAAACTGTAAATAAAAATAATTGATAAATGAATAAGTGAATCAAATGAAGGAATATAAGAGTGGTTAGATGGATGAATGTGATGGATGGATGAATAAAGGGAAGAAGGGAGAGATCAAATGGAGGATGGGTGAATGGTTAGTAGATAGGTGAATGAATGAGCAAATAAATCACTGAGTAAATAAAATTATGGTTGAACAATTAGTAAATAAAACTCAACTTCTTGACAATTTCAGCTTTCTAAGCTAATGAAGGAAGTGATCTATGGTTTCATAATTTGAGTATATGAAAACAGTTCATCTCTAGAACTCTACATTATAGGTTATGATGGCTATATCCAGATGTGCAATACTTATTGAGGAGGTAGGAAACAAATAAAAAATGAGCACCTTTTCTCTTCTGAGACTAACAAATGAATCTCGGAGTGATTTCCTCTTACATCTCCAGAACTTTGAATACAATGAGGCCAATATAGTCTATAAAGCACAAATAGATGTATTTATGTATAAATATGTATATATTTCAGCATATAGGCATCTCACTATGTATACATAAACACATGTAATATACTAATCCAATATTTCTAAAGGGAGACTCCATGGAAGACAAAAAAGAACAGTAGGCAGGGATGTCCATCCCAGTACTCTTTGATAAGTTCTTCTATGATCTTGAAGAAGACAGTTTCCCTCTCTGGACTGTAGATTCTTCATCAGTAGGAAGTAGTGGTTTTGAATTTTTGTCCTCCCTAGGCCCTTTTGGACTAATCTTGTGTCACTCTGTGACTCACTGCAACCACCCTTTTCAAATGAATACTTCTAAACCTTAGGCTCTTGGTGCATATTCAGGCTAGCTAATAAAACATTTGGTTAGCCTGGAGAGAGCAATTCCTGCCGCCATTCCTCCCAGGCTAAAAATCATCCTATCTGTTATATACCCCAAACACCCATACCACCTTACTTGTAGAGACCATCAGGCTCCAAGCATTTGAAGATGACCGAGTAGATACTGACTTCAGGGACCTCTCCATGGCTTCGACCAGCTGCTACACAAGATGTGCCCAGGCCAGAGAGTAAGTCATCAGCAAAACTCAGGAATTCTCCTGGAGGGAGACAAAGAAATGTGAGCTCCCCAGCCCAGGCATTGGTGAGTCTACATTCATGTCCTATCCAAACCCATCAAATGTCTAGATACCATTATTAGGAAAATTAGTGGGCAGAAAAAAACACTGATCTGAAAATGATACCGATTCACATCTAGCCTGATGACTCTTTGTTCAAATTTATCCCTGATTTTTTTCACCTGCAAAGTAGAACTGCTAATACCTACCTTTATGAGGTTATATCAAAGCTAAAAAGAAGTAAATTATCCTATAATAAAAATTCATGAAAAGACAAGGGAATTATGCTTTCTTTCTGTCCAGAGTAACTATTTCGGCCTTGTCACTGCCAGTAACGTCGCCTAAATCCTGAGCAAAGCCCTTCTTTCTTGGAATTGTGTTTTCCTCCTTCATATAATGACAGAATGACCTAGGGATATAAGAGATTTCATGTCACATGACCACTTTTATGCACTGATGCTAGATTCATGGAGTGTTTACATTGAGACGGACAGAGACCCAGATTGGTTAAAGAAAGAGTTCTATGAGTGATTAGCAATGAAGATCATGGACTCAGGAAGTGACAATGGACAAAGTGCCACATATTTGTGCTCCCTGAACTCCACAATTTCTAAAAGTTCATTTAGCCAATGGATTTTAGGAAGCAGTTGAAGTTTACTAGAAAGAGAACTCTGTAAAGAAGACTAAAAAATAAAGAATGAATAACTGGACTTGTAGAATTTTAGGATCTAGACTTAACTCTGATAAGAATTTGCTATATAGATTGGACAACTAAATCCCCACATCTGTGCTTTAGCTTTCTCCTATGTAAGGGACAGGTATTAGAATCATTCTTAGAAACATTTTTTAAAAATAGATATATATAAAAATGAAGTTATAAGGATAAACTCTGCAGTACTGTTTATACTTGCAAGGATTTAGAAAAAACTTAAGTCTTTAACAATATAAAAATGGCTATATTAATAGTAGCTTGATGATGTAATGGGATATTTCATAGTCGTTAAAAATAATTTGTGTGCCAGGTGTTGTTGTATATAGGTTCGCACCTATAATCCTAGCTACTTGGAAGACAGAGATGGGGAGTAATTGAGGTTTGAGGCCAAATGTGTACAAGACCCTATCTCAACTAAAAAAGCTGGGCTCAGTAGTGGTGGTCATCCCAGCTGTAATGAAAGCATAAATAAGAGAATCACAATCCAGCCAGCCCAGGCACCAAAAACCCAGACCCTATTTGAAAAATAATAGAAGCACAAAGGGCTGGAGGAGTGGCTGAAGTGACGGAGTGCCTACCTAACAAGCACAAAACCCTGAGTTCAAACCCCAGCACCACCAAATAAAAAAAAATTTTTTAAACTTGAGGAATAATGTGAAGTTATATGAAAAGATATTCATGTCATATTGTAGGTTAAAAAATAGGTTATACTATTAAAGAATCAGGCAATTTTGTGGAAATTTTACATATGTTTGAGCTTAAAAACAGGAGGAAAAAAGTAAAGCAAATGCTTAATAGTGGCTCTGTCTGGAGAGTGAGATAGTGGGTACTTTTTCTGTCTTATTTTTGCTTATCTCTACTTTTAAAAAATTATCTTCAAAAAACATACATTGCTTTTATAACAAGAAAAAAATCAATAAAATTACTTAAAAATAGATAAAGTAAGTGAGCCAGTCTGAATGGCTTCCTAGTTCCCTTCCAAATGCTAAAACTGGATGATTTAGGAGCAAAATTGGCATATGAGGTATTTTATACCAAACTGCATAAAATTATATGAGGTCTCCCACCTATTGCTTCCTTGTGTACCTTCAAGCTTATGTGGAGACCCTCAGACTTGTATTTGCATATATTCCCAGTAGAAAGTAAGAGGACGATGTCTGCTCAGTTATATCCTTTCTACTCAGGATTAAGGATAAGCCAATGAATTAGAAACATTGTGAAACAAAATGTTGGTCAAGTATTTGAAAGGACTGGGATGCAGAGAAGTCACATGGTATTCTTCTGCCAGGGAACTATTTAGGGAGCATATACCCATCACTTCCTATTGGTCTTTCAAAGAAAAGTTAACATTCTTAAAGAAGCACAGTTAAAAGAGAACCCAAAATATTTCATTCTTCACCTAACAATCAATCTTCGAACACTTGTCTGACTGAATTGCCTGGATAGCCCTGGGATTCAGTGGAAAAACAGTTGCATGATATATTTGCCCATGTAAGTCCAATATAGCAGATCTGATGGGTAGTAGGTTTTGCTTTAATAAAGATAATATATAGTTCATAAACTCATCATATAATTACTGAATTAAATGTCTAAATCAGGCTAATGAAAGCAATATGCAATTTTGGCTATTGTTTCAAGGAGAACTGAAAATGACAGCTATTTCCACCACTTGTTGCAAGCCCTTAAATTTCTCAAAGTCTCAGTGTTCCCTTCTGTAACAAGTAGTTCATAGGTCTTTTATGGGTTTAGAATCTAGAAAGTAAAGCCAAGTATCTAGAAAGAAACAAGTATGTCTAGAACCAGAGGTTTTTCTGGAAAAATGAGCAGGTAAATAAACTTTTATTCATTACAACCTTTGACATTCCACATTCACATCATCTTTTTCCATGGTACATTTGTGAACCAGTAATATCTCCACTCCAATCGATATCCAAAAGAACAATTATGGGGTGAACAATTTTTTAAAAAAGAGAGAAAACATGAGATTGTTCACTGGATGGGGTGAGGGTCTTGTTTCATTTGGTTTCTCAGGATTTCAAGTCTGGCTGCTTATATTTGTTTTCTTTGAGCATGGTTCCATGTCTGTTTTGCTTTTCAATTTATTTCCAGATAGCCATTTAAAGAATTGGCCATTTGTGAGGGAATTCAGTACTCCTGTGGCCAGTATTAATTAACTGTCTCGAAGCCAAAAGATGGATGACATTCATTTTCAAATGGGCATACCTCTGCAGATATTTTCATGAATTTCAGAATAATTTGGACCATGGATAAAAGCCCCATAAACATGTTAGGTTAGTATCAGCACAGTTCTAAACAGTTCTAAGGTTTATATGTTTAGTTCAAGAGAAGAAATTGTATAACTTGGGGTTAAGTACTTATACTAAGGGTATCATAAGTATATTTAGTGCCTAATTCTAGTCAAGACTATGTGCATATAATGACCTTGAAAAAAGGCAAAAGGAAGGGACCTGATGCTTAGTACATACTTTTTCCCATTTAATCCTCACAGCAACCTAACAAATTAGATGTTGCCATTGTATAGTAAAGTTGAGGTTAAAATTGCAAATTAAGCAAAGAGAGCTGAGATTTGAACCTCTTTTTTTCTAACTCTAAAACCATATCTTTTCTTTTGTACTATGCTGCCTCCTACAGAAGATTTTAAAATGATAGTGTTAGAAAGCAAGCTTCCTCAAAGCTATTCAATTTGTGATTGAATTCATGCTACTCTCTTAGTTCTATGGGTTTGAGGAAGGAGACAATAAAAGAAATGTTCCCTGACTTTCTACAGCTTGTAATCTGACATCAGGAAGGGTTGTTAAATACAAGAACAGACCTATAAAGTGAATTGTAAGATTGCTTTTCTTGGCACTCTATTTCAGAAAGTTTGAATGCAGTGTAGATTGAGACAGGTGAATGAAGTCCCCTGCAGTGTCTTTCCTCATCTAGTGGAGGAGGTCCTAAGAAAGGCCTGGGGGCTTGTCTATGCACTAATGCAATCAAAGCAATTCATCCACATATACTGTAGTTCCATAATATACCCTATTCCACATCTGGCAGCAGTACAACTCAATAAGCAGTAATATAGTGCAGTGATAAAGAAATCAGGCTCTGAATTTACACTGCCTTGGACTAAATCCTGGTACACCCCCACTTACTGCTTGCTTTGGATAAGTTCCTGAATTCTCATCTGTATTTTTTCATCTGTAAAAAGGTAATGGTAGCTGATATAGCATTGCAAATATCATATAAAATACTGCATATAAACCAATTAGCAAAATGTCTAGTACATGGACCTCAAAATCTATATTAACTGTCATTGTTTTTGTTGTTATAATTCTTGTCATCATGACAAAGTGGCGATAAGGACTCTTAGGCATTCTAAAAATCCAAAATTCTTCATTCATAGGTGATAAAACTGAAAGTCAGAGAAGGAAAGTGGCATGTCCATCACCATACATGGAATGATTTGAAGCAAAAACTTGGTGTCTTGACTCCTATAATACTTAAGATCATTTATGTAAGATAGCCTATGAGATACACAGAGAATTAAAGAACTTTCAAAACTGCCACCAGAGCCCTTCCTCCTCACCTTCTGAATACTTCAGTCAACATGAATATGACATATATTTACCAGGCATTTACTATGCAGTAAGTATTGTGTTAAATGAATGGTTCCACCTTGTTATTTTCTTAAACCTGGAATTTCTGAGAAAGATCCAAAGAGACAGAATCAGTGCAGTAGGTCTTTAATATATAATATATTGTAACAGTGGTTTCCAACTTAGAATATGTAGAACTCCAAGGATAAGGATGAACATGAATAAGGGAGGGGCCTGAGTTGGTCTGTCCTATATCCACATTAACCTTCAACCAGATCAGTTCCAGTTTGATCTATATATTAGTGGTCCAAGTTTTATTTAGGTTTTTCAAAATGTTTACGAAAACTTAACTTAAAAGTTTTGTTGCTTGCCATGGTTGAATTCCCAGACTGTGCCACATTCCTTCACTGAAACACAGATACTCAAGGATATTGCACCCAAATCCAAGAATTTGTTACTACTTAGGTGCAGACTTTAGAATCAAACCCCAGGTCTCTTGCATCTGAGCCTCACGTTCCCTACGCTAGCCCACTCTGCCTGGGATACCTCTGTTTGCTCTTTCCTGGCACAATGTCAAGTCCTCCTGGTAGAACCCTCCCAGAACCCAGGTTGCTGCCCCTGCCTCACCCAAGTCTGTCCAAGTATCTAACATTCTTTTTTGTTTGTTTGTT